AACCGATTCCCCTCCATGAGCAGCAGTCCCTGCCTCGCCAGGAGGAGAGCCGATTTTCAGGGTCATGAAGGCCATTTTTAAAGTCAAGAAGAGCTTCATGATCAGCAGCAGAACAATTTACTCCCATAGCATCAGCATAAAGGACATGATCCCTGAATGTTTGCTTTAAAAACAAAGCGAAAAAAGAAAGAATTTGTAACCATCCCATTTGTACCTTTAGGTTCAAATGACAGGGGAACTACTACATTTTATAAGTCTCTTTTGGATATAACAGTACATCCTCTGTTTTTTCTTTAAGAGAAAAATTAAATTATTTTATGCATATTGTTATTAGCTTGATTTACAAGAAAACAAAGGTTTTTCAATAGAGAATATCAAGGGCTGACTTTGTTTCAGATGATCATTTAAAGTTGAAATTCTGAGCACTTTTGCTTTATGATGCAAGTCAACTACGATGATTCATGCTAATCCTGGGACTTCTTTTAGACATTGTTTAACCCATACATTCCAATTCTGACATGTGTATGTTCTCGGTTCTCCACAGCTGACTAAAGAGTAAAGAAACAACAAGATTACATCAAGTTCTCACAAGAATCTTTTCTTTAGTTCTTCCGGTACTTATTATAAGGTATTTTGATTTCGTCCTAGGTTTAACCTAGAAAATGTTTTTAATTAGAAAAAAAACCTTAAAAATATATTTTCACATTTTTGTATATTCCTAATTATTATGAAATATTTTTAAGATTTTTATCTCAATTAGAAAGACATCTTAGATGAATTTTAGGACGAAATCAAAGTGCCTTATAATAAGGATCAGAGATTTTTTTTTCTTTTTGGCTTTTTGACGAGACGTAATCTATGCCGACCTTGTCGTATTCCTATTGGTTTTTTGTTCAGACAAGCCTCCAAGTCCGTTGGATGAAAACCTCTTAATCATTTGTTCATTTCCTCAGATTACTTAAAAAAATGTGTTCATACCTATCAGAAATACCAGTTTGGATTCAGATTTCAGAGATATCCATCTAAGTGCAACAACAATGGAGTCTTATCTGCTCCAAACTCAATCAGTCTTCTAAAAGTGTGACATAGAGAAGCAGAGAAAATATTCTCAATTTCTCATTAATTCGAAGTGAACATGTTGCAAAAGCGCATTTTTTTTAAAAAAAATATATTTTGATGCAAAAGCCTAAAACTTGAAAATTAGGCCATTCCTTTCCGTTCTGCTAGAAACACCAACGGTCACATCGTGTTCCAGCCAGGGTTTGCCATCCGGAAGAGAGGCATTGCTATTCAAGAATTTAACCGCCAATCAAAACAAAAATGAACCACATTTGGATGGAAGAATATCTTGTCTCCAATTGCTTCCATTGTTCTCGATCAATTCAGCCATTGCCCCAATAATCTGCCATTATGTTTGGCTTCTGTCAAGTTTAGCATATTCCTAGGTCAACTATTTTTTTCTTCTGTCAACTATTTATTTTGCAAATGCATACATATTATAAGGACATCATTAGGGTAGAGATCGATGGACATTAGTGAAGGTAAAGCGATTTTGTATTTGTAGTAGAAACTCCATTTATCATCTTATGGAAGTTTCAGTGCTACTCCTTGAGAGACCACTAGAATCCTTTCCACGTAAAACAATGTATCTTTCTTCTGTGTTTTGAATGTTTAAGCTTAGCTCCGGAGATTAGGATTTAGGAGATAAATGTTAAGATTGTTTGCGTGGTCTTTCATATATAGACTTAGATGAAGATATGATTGTCATACTCAACCTATCCAATTTGACAGTTTCGGTGCGATTGGAAACTATCCAACCTAAGATTATTCGACTGTAATATCATCTATGAAACATCTTGTATTGCTTCCGAAACATGATTGTCAAAGTACATATGTCCGCGCCCTCTAATGATATCGGTAGCGCTTCATCTCTACCGTTCAGGCCGCCTTCTCTTCCCATTTGGAGTCCTGAAACATCTGTTTGCAGAGTTTGCATTTCTGCAGTCAAAGCTTCGTGGCCGTTAACATTAACCATATTCTCTGAGTTACTAAACAATAGTACTCCATGTTGTACAATCCCTGGAGGAGATCTCAGAATTGCGATCGAAAAGAAATTAATGTGTCTATCTAGCTAGTCCATCCACAACTTTAGAACCCTATCTTTACCAACAGATGCTACATTTTCACCTTACCAACTCCAATAGACTACATTTACCTATCAAATTTCCGAACGCAACAAAAATAAGCTATCAATAAAGCGCTTGCATTCCATTTTCTGCCAAAATACAAACTGCATCCAATCAAAGCTAATACCTGTCGAATGTTGATGTCCTGTCATACAAGCTCTATGTAGTGGCTAACTACAGTCTCCCTCGGTAACTGACGATGCCTGGAATTGTGTCTCTGGTTTGGTGGTGGAACTCCTATTAGGGTTTCCTGTAAAACAGAGTCTCGGGGGCTCCTGAGCGTAGATATACTCCGAAACTTAAATCAGGAAATAGGATTGCGAAATAATGTGTACTAGATGCTTGTCCCGGGCATCCTCCCACCTAATAAATTAATATGTATATAATCAAAACTGATTAGGAATGAATTTAGTTTTTGATGTAGATAATTGATTGATCGAAAATTGATTTTTTAGAAAGTACTAAATAAGTGGAGAAGGAAAGTTCCATTCACTGTCAAATTCAAAATTTGAATGAACATGGCCATCTGATCTCTTCGTTAATATTATAAATATATTTTTTGTTTTTAAAAGGAGGTGACACATGGCAGAATGATTTATGCAATATGGTGCATTTGGAGCCAAAACCTTTTAATAAGAAATTGCCACATCAGCATCCTGTTTTCTGCTTTAATAGGGTAAAAGGGATATGTGAATTGGTGCTAAAGATAGCGTACCTCAATTGTGGAGTAATCATCCATATTTATAGGCCTTAAAAGTATCTGAATATTACTAGGTTTAGTAATATTAAACCGCCGACTTCACAGTCGGTTGGACCTTGGACGGGGTGATTGGACCGATCCATGTCCAGTGGTGGATATGGACTCGTCAAGTGCCCCTGTCAAGTGTTGGTTATAAAAAATAAACAAAACTTGACACAAAATAATTCCAACCTAGACTTGGCCCAAGTTAATCGAGCAAGCATTGGCCCATGACCCATCAAACAGGCCTGATGGTTTAGTTTGCAGGTCAAGATTCAACCCGGAAGATGATCCACTCCGGAATCCCGCTCAAAAAATTCAACCGCGCATAGTAAGTGGGCACGTTCCCCCAAACGATGGCTCCGTCATCATTACCCTTCCTTGAACCCCGTCCCAACTGTTGAAACGTGGGAGAGAGAAGTTTTTTTTTAATATTGGGAAAAGACTAGAGACTCTTGCCATTCACCTCCTCTCAAATTCCAATTCTGAAAATACGAAGCTTTCTGCCCCTGCATATTACCCACTGCCGCTCGGGACAAAAACCCTTCATTATCGCCGGAGATTCCTGTAACTACCGTTAAAAGAAGAGATTCATCGCATTGGGTAAACAGAATCCAGAAGGACATCCCCAAACTCTGATAGAAGTAAGTCCTCCAACTCTCTTGTATTTTCAGAGCTTGCCTTTCTTTTACCTGAATTTTGTTATACATGCATATACTGTGGTAGATATGGCTGCTCAAACAGTTTCTGACTTCGCATCCACTATAAATTCTGCCGATAAAGCCAAGGCAATAGCCGAATAGTATGATTTCCCAGTAGAGCTAGAATATCGAGCACCTATAGGCACAGAAAGGGTCACTACTCCTCCAGAGGGAAAAATAACTGTATATGATAGGTTTATGTTTTTAGGGCTAAGATTTCCCTTTTACCCTCTTTTTGGAGATATAGTTCAATACTATAAGATTCCCCTTACTCGATTTACACCAAACTTAATATTGGCAGTACTCGGATTTGCGAGGCTCTGCGAGTTGAAGAAGGTTGAACCTTGATTACTTGTGTGGAGGTATTTTTTAAAAGTCTGTGTCCCCTCGGCGAAATATTAACACTGGTATAACGTCAAGAGGAATCCCAAGTCGGGTGCAAAGCAGATAATAGAACTCTTCGACGGTTTTCCAGTGTGGAAACCAAATTATTTGTTTGTACAGGCTTCAGAGGATTTTCGCGTGACCTGGGAACATCGTGAATCCCAGGAGATGGGTGTTATAGCTGATGTCTTGTCTAAATCTGACAAGGCTAGGATCGAGCAGTATAGGGATGACACTACTGCTCTGGAATCCTTCAAAAATTATCTCAATTGGACAAAAGTGCAGCAGTACATTCCCCCAATTCCTGTCGAGGATAAAAGAAGGTACTAACTCCTCTTGTGTATTCCTTTTGTTCTAGGCTATGTCGTCGAGCAAGAACACCGTTGGCTTGTTTGGTGACTCCAATATCTTTGACATTAAAAATTCAGATGATGAAGGATCCTCAAGCAAGGTCAGCAAGAAGAGGAAGTTGAGGAGACTAGTGAAAGCGTCAGAAGCAGACGCTAAGTCAAAAAAGAAGAAGCGAGCTCCTCTAGTCGAGAAAGAAGGGCCGGTCAAGGAAGTTACACCCGTCAAAGAAGACAAGACAGTCAAGGAGGATAAGCCTGTCCAGGAGGGTAATCCTGTCGAGGGCAATGTGCCTCCAGAGAAAGATGAGAACCCGAAAGCAGACCCAAGTTGGTTTACAACATTTCCACCTCCGCTATCTCAGAAGAAGGGCGCTGCTGAGAATCCGGATGCCTCTCCAGGGTCATCATCATACACTATAACCGCCGCCATATTCCCCTTTGGGGATGATAGAATTGAATGCCCCATAATAGAAGAGGTAGCCGAAACGATGACTGATTAAAAAGCCTTAAAAATGGTAAGTGTTACCAACACAGATGTTTTCCGCATTCACTGCTTGTAACTAGTATTTCAATTTATACTGATCTCTTGCTTACAATATCGACAGCTAACAATCTCCTTGCGAGCATTCTTATGCGCAAGAAGAAGCTAAGGGAGGAAATCTCCAATTTGGAGCTCGAGAAGGGGTTTCTTGAACATGAGAGGGCAATCCACGAGGAGGCAAAAAAGAATGAGCAGTTAATGCAAGCTGCCAAGGAGGGAGAGCTGGCCAATGCCCAGGCCATGTATAAGGAACTCGAAGCCAAACTGAAGGACTATGGGGAAACCCATATACCAAAAACAGAGTTGCAGAAATGGATGACTGCATTTTGGGCCAGAATGATGCCCACTGGAGGGATGGTCAATATCATGGTGGGCATCAGTGAAGTAGCTATTGCACTAAGCGCCCATGGTGTGGCTGTTGCCGCTATCGAAAGGATGGAATCTGGAAAGCCTGTCAATGCCAGCTGGCTACAACAATTCGTGAAACCGCATCCTTCCAAAACCCTGCATGAAGCAATGAAGAATGCGTTGATGCATCTTGGCACTGAACAACTCCCTTTGTTCGGGCCCTTGTGTAGCGCTATCCCCCAAATGGGTTCACCCTCAGAAATCATTTCCTTTGAAGGAGATGCCCCAACAGTGTTACCTGCTGAGCCTGGGAAAGAGATACGGGTACCCGAGCTTGACCAGGATTTCATTGGTGTCAAGTTAGTTTCTGATGAAAATTCCTCTGAGAACATCGAGGAGGATAAGGAAGAGGAGCGGGGGCCTGAAGTTGAGAAGGAACAGGCAGGCGAGAAAGAGATTTCCTCGACTCAGACTCTTGTCGAGGGAACTAGTGAGAGCCAACCGAATATCCCGCCCAACCCAAATGCCGTATGATTTCCTATCTTGTAACAAGATTTTTGCTACTTGGGTTGTAGACCTTAGCTTTCTGTAGTAATTGCTAAATGAATTCTACCAATTCAGAATTTACATAAAGCCTTCTTCTGCTCTTTTCCTCTCATTGTTTTTGATGTATTCTTGCTGAGTATGTCAGGAGCCGTATTATGTCCATAATGTGCATCTGATGATTTTTGAGGAGGATGAGATCAAACATTTCCCTATGTATGCCATGATTTCATCAGCATTGAGAAAATTCGGGAACGTTAACAACACCGCATTAGTGAGAGCCTTCTAGAAAGAGATTATGGACACTGTTCAAGCCTATAATGTTCAGATACACTCTCGCTTGGTTCAGCGTTTCCAACAAAAAGAGGAGGAGTGGAGACGTTGACTCCATCAATACGATCTCGACTTTCAAGATGCCCTGATTCTAGAGGCGAGTATCAACGACCAGATGAAAAAGCTGAAGGATGAAAATGCTCGATTGAGGAAGCGCGAGAAGATTGCGGTATCTCCATGGTTTCTAGAGAAGTTTGAGCTACTTGCCTTGGTCGAGAAACAGATAGAAGTCCGGACAGAATGTTTCATAGCTGCAATTGATCTCCTAAAGAAGAGAACCAAAGAAGCAGAGTTCTACAGAATATATTGGCCGACAAAGAAATCCTGCTGCTTATTTTTGATGATCTCGATCTAGATGATGAAGCGAAAGAAAGGACAGCTGTCGAGGAATATCAACTTAGACTCGACGAGCAAGATTGGGAGATCGTAGATCTAAAAGATAAGCTAAGCCATTGTATTAACCAGCTTAGAGTTGTTGGGTACTCTAGGGTTATTAATTGGATCAGGAACTTTGCGATGGGTTTGCGATCTCCCTCCCCCTCACCTCCATGACTGGTTGGCTTTATGGCGGTTTTCTTTCTTTTCAACCGCTGGTCGTTTCTCTTCCGCTTCTGCCTTTCATGGAATTCCGCTAGGAGTTCATCATCGTTGGGACTTTCACGCCTACCGATTGATGCGATATTGGATTGAGGATTGTTAATTATAACCATTCTGTCTTGGAAAAAACCCTAGCTTGGAGTGGTGGCAGCAGATCGAAAAGGTTCTGAGAGCTTGGGAAAGCTTTGAGACACAAACCTTAATTTTTGGGTCCCACTGGGCGTGCCACTTGACAATGCCTGGACTTGCGCCTCCGGCTAGGTGGTGGAACTCCAATTAGGGTTTCCTGTAAAACAGAGCCTCGGGGCCTCCCGAAGGTAGACACTCCGAAGCTCGATTCAGAAAATAGGGTTGCGAAATAGTGTGTATATGTGAATTGGTGCTAAAGATAGCGTACCTCAATTGTGGAGTAATCATCCATATTTATAGGCCTTAAAAGTATCCGAATATTACTAGGTTTAGTAATATTAAACCGCCGACTTCATAGTCGGTTGGACCTTAGATGGGATGATTGGGCCGATCCATATCCAGTGGTGGATATGGACTCATCAGTAACATAATGAAATCGCCAGAAGAACAATCTCTCTGTTGCGTTACCCTCATTTTGTTATAGCATTACATAGTTTTACCTAAACAAATTTAGGTATTGCAACCCACCACAACAGAGATTGAGCAAAAGACACCCCAGCTATTGTGAATCCTCATTCCAATAACTGCAAAATACGTCAGGCGAGTTACAGGATTAAAATCTAACCTCAACATTAGCAAGAACAGAAGAAATCTTGGACAAGTAGGAGTTCCGCTGGCTCTGATCACGGTTGAATAATTCTTTTAGCAGGGGACAATTCCAAGAAAGTTCAGTGATCGCGAAATTCAGTTACAGAGAAACAAAGTTGCCTAAATATTCGGGCAAACTTTCTAAAGATCCATAATCTTTCAGCCATTCAGGGAACACGATGACAAATCTTTTGCCAGTCCTGCTCCATGTTTACCGTTTAGCTTTGAGTCTTCCATATAACCGAGCTCTTCTATTCTGCAACCCTTTAACTTCTCATACGTTGAAGAACTGCAGCGTTTGAAGAAAAGTTAGCCTTCCCTACTCAGGCGGCATTTGGAACTCCTGATCAAACCTGAAATGATGATGAAGATGCCGCAAACTGATCAGGTTCATCATCCCTTGTGGAATACTTTGTAGATAATCACACGAAACTAAACGTAACGTTTGCAATTTATGCAGCTTGCAAAGAAATTCCTGCAACACCTTGATCTTAGAATGTGAAAGGTCAAGATAAATGTTTCTGCTTCCTGATATACCTAATTGGCAAGAATTCTATTTTTCTTTTCATTCAACAATTCAGCACACATAGGGGCCTAAATTTCACCAACATTTCATTGGATATGTTTGATTTGACAAATAGTTTTCGAACCAATGGTGCGAAAAACCGATCAAAGTCGCCTTCCAACCACGGTTTGCCATCTGGAGGAGGATCATACTGTTGTGGCGGAAAGGGTATAAACACAACAAACCAGCAAAAATGATTCCCAAGAAAAATTCCTTTCCTACTACCAATAAAATAGGACAACCAACCAAACAAGCAACTAATTCAAGAACTGATAAAGTAAAGTGGACACACAAATTTACGTGGAAACCCAAATCGGGAAAAACCACAGGACTGTAACAACAGTCAAATCTCCACTATCACAATAATGAGAAACAGTCTTTACCAACTGGTGGATACACAAGACTTCACCCAAAGGTGGATTACAACAATACTCTTCCAAAACACCTATCAAAGTGTAGGACTGGAAGGATCTAACCAAAAGAGAGTTAAACCGAAAACTAAACTCTAGCTTTCTTTTTTTTTTCTCTCTCGCACTAAACCCTTGTGCGGCTGCCCTAATTCTCCTTCTCTCTCAGCTAAAAAACATACCCAAAAGGTTGTGTGCAACCTTGCTTTTATAAGCATAAAAAACCAGAACCAAAACCCAATTGAATTATATTTAATTTTCCCGGTCAAAAAACAAAGCCAAAACCAAATTAGCTTTTGGTTTCATACTCTGCTGGGCCCAAGTGAGGGGAATAGGCCCAACAATACCTTTAGAAACTTCTGCAACCAAAGTGCTTCCTTACAAGATTCAGTAGCTGCGATAAACTCTGCCTCTGTAGTAGACAAAGCAACACATTTCTACAACCTACTCTGCCATGAAACTGCTCCCCCTCCATAAGTCATCAAGTAACCAGAAGTAGACTTCCGACCATCCAGGTCACCTGCCATGTCAGCATCTGTATATCCATCTAACATAGTCTTCTCATTGCCAATGCAAAGACTCAATCTGGAAGTACCCCTAAGATACCTGAGAATCCACTTCACAGCATTCTAATGTTCCTTACCAGGATTGGAGAGAAACCGACTAATAACACCAACTGCATGAGCTATGTCTGGACTTGTGCGAACCATCGCATACATCAAACTGCCAACTACAGAAGCATAAGGAACCTTTTTCATCTCTTCCTTATCTTTCTCACTTTTAGGACACTGCATTTTGCTTAGCTTAAAAAAAAACTAACTACATGAAATAATCCAAACTGTATATATTTCTTCTTTCTTCTTCTCTCATTCCGGCATTTTGTTGAACTCCCTGTGAAATTGAAGACAGGAGATTCCTGCAGAACATTGAAAAGACTTTAACACCATTGAATGAATCTAACAGGATGAATTAATTAGTAGAACAAAGGACCTCAAAAAAACAAGAACATAACCACAAGTAGACTTAAGATGACAGATCCAATCAATTAGCAGGACAAATGATTGAATTGCAAGCATTGAAACATCATACCATATGCATGCAGCTGAATGATAACTTACATTAAGATGGAGTAGTTAGTTGCTAAGTGTTATTAGTAAAAAGCTTTACCAAGTGTAAATAAGTTGAAGACGAACCATTTCATCAAAGTTCCTTTGGACGCCCTTTTCAGTTTAGTTTTGCATGAATGAATTAAGCAGCCTAGCTAGATATATCTATTTATATATATATATATATATATATATATATATATATATATATACAGGACAAGACAACAAGATGAACAAGAAAAGAACAAAATGGTCAGTGAGCATATCATTGTAGTAGCGGATCAAGAAAAAACAAGAAAGTATCAGGATGAGATGTCTCAGTTAACTGTTTGCAGTTTTGGGTTTTGCGCATTCCAATGATCGATCAAAGGCCAGGAAAACATAAACTTAAAGATCCAATTAACCTGATCTGGAGTGCTACGAAGCAACTGGAAGCTTAGTTTTTCTAACAGATATCCAATATGTTGTCTGCCCCCTGACGAATAAACAATGACCATAATGCTAACTGATTGGATCATCAGAGACTTAAAAGAAATTGGAAAAATGCCATCAAATATCTAAATCCAAGGACATGGAACTGGAAGAAGCTGCAGCAGCCTTGCCTTTAGCACCACTAATGCTACTACTATTATTAGGCATTGTTTGGCTTACTGCATTATGAGTGCCACTAACATTATTATTATATGAAGAACAACATGATCAATACTATCAATGTATGACCTGATCATCAGAGGAGAACTTGAGAATGTGTCATTTCTATGATTTTGACACTTCTACACAAATATTGAATAAACAGTATAGCTGTGTCTTTGGAAATTCACTTTACTGCAGAAAGAAAACTACCTTAGTTATCAAACAATCATTCTGAAATCTCTGCACCTGAAATCTCTATATCTTCTTCCTCCATATTTTCTGCTTCTATCAGTGAATTCTGCATTATAGAAACAAAATAAAGACAAGTAAAGTCAGCAACATTCCAGACAATGATAATAGAAGTTAAATTATTCAACACAAAGCAGTTAAAACACAAAAATACAACCTTCTTCACTTTCTTCAAGTACTTCAAGGGTTCCTTCAACATTTACGGGTGATTGATCCCCACGAAGCCAATCTTGTGTGCAAATCAAGGCTTCAACCAATTCAGGAGTTAAGGAACTCCTAAAAGGATCGATAACCCGACCACTTGTGATAAACACAGATTTTGAG